AACGCATGGAAAATTCCACTCGAAGAATGGCGGGCTGACTGCCTGAGTATGCATGTTTATGAAAAGTTCTTGTGAGCAACATGCATAGTTGCTGGCAAGTTGGAAGCGGATTGTGCAATTATTATTATTATTATTATTATACAGTATTTATAAAGCGCCAATAGTTCACTCAGCGCTGTACATTACAAAGGGGGACAGAACATGTGACAGAACAATACCAATACAATGCAAAACATGAGGGGATCGAGGGCCCTGCTCTTTCGAGCTTACAATCTAGGAGGGAGGGGATGGTGGTACAGGAGGAGATAGCTGTGGGGGATGGAGTGGTAGGAAGAGTGGAGGAGGTCAGCAAGTTAGCAGGGGGTGAGGTAGGCTTCCCTGAAGAGATGGGTTTTCAGGGTGCGCCTAAAGGAGAGGAGAGTAGGTGATAATCTGATGGGTTGGGGCAGGGAGTTCCAGAGGATGGGTGACACCCTGGAGAAGTCCTGGAGGGGGCATGGGAGGAGGAGACCAGGGAACTAGAGAGAAGGAGGTCTTGTGAGGAGTGGAGTGTGCGTGCTGGGCGGTACTTGGATATTAGGTCAGTGATGTAGTTCGGGGCAGTATGGTGGACAGCTTTGTACGTCAGTGTTAGGATTTTAAATTTGATCCGTTGCGCAAGCGGAAGCCAGTGGAGGGATTGGCAGAGGGGGGTGGCGGAAACGGAGCGGTTGGAAAGGTGAATGAGTCTGGCAGCCGTATTCAGGATCGACTGAAGCGGGGATAGCCAGCGGCGAGGCAGGCCAGTGAGGAGGGAGTTGCAGTAGTCGAGTCGTGATATGATGAGGGAGTGGATGAGCTGTTTAGTGGTTTCTGGGGTTAGGAACGTGCGGATTTTGGCGATGTTGCGGAGGTGGAGTCTGCACGAGTTTGTTAAAGATTGGACTTGGGGCTGGAAGGATAGGTTGGAGTCCAGAATGACACCAAGTACTCTGGCCTACAGAGCGGGTTTGATATTGGCGTTGTTGGATGTGATGTAGAAGTCAATGGGGGGTGGGGTTCGGGCTGGGGGGAAGACAAGGAGCTCGGTTTTGGAGAGATTCAGTTTAAGGAAGTGGAGCGACATCCAATCTGATATGTCGCTCAGTAGGTGTGTGATTTGGGCAGAGACCGAGGGGGTGAGGTGGGGGGTTGAGAGATAGATTTGTGTGTCGTCGGCATAGAGGTGGTAGTTGAAGCCGTGAGAGTGTATGAGTTGGCCAAGGGAGGAGGTGTAGATGGAGAAGAGAAGGGGTCCAAGGACAGAGCCTTGAGGGACCCCAACAGAGAGGGGAGTGAGGGGGAGGTGGTAGCATTATAGGTAACGCTGAAAGAGCGTTGTGACAGGTAGGATGAGAGCCAGGAGAGAGCAGAATCTCTGAGGCCGAGGGAGTGTAGTATTTTGAGGAGGAGGGGGTGGTCAACTGTGTCGAAGGCCGCAGAGAGGTCAAGGAGTAGGAGCACTGAATAGTGGCCATTAGCTTTGGCGGTTAGAAGGTCGTTGGAGAGTTTGAGTAAGGCGGTTTCAGTGGAGTGTAGGGGGCGGAAGCCAGACTGTAGGGGATCGAGGAGGTTGTTGTCGTTGAGGTGAGAGCATAGGCGGGTGTAGACGAGGCGCTCGAGGAGTTTAGATGTAAGTGGGAGCAGGGAGATGGGTCTGAGGTTGTTCGGGTCATTGGGGTCCAGGGAGGGCTTTTTAAGTATGGGGGTGATGTGTGCATGCTTCAGTGGGGAGGGGAAAGTGCCGGAGGAGAGGGAGAGATTAAAGATGTGGGTGAAGGGAGCGTAGGATGGAGGGGGAGGGAGGTCGTAGGAATTGTGAGGGGATAGGGTCGAGGGGGCAGGTGGTGAGGCGGGCATCAGAGAGGATCTTGGAGACTTCCTCGATGGTAGTAAGGTCAAACGTGTGGAGTGTTGGGGGAGCTTCAGTATGAGGAATGTAGGGTGGGGTGGGAGTGGAGGTCAGAGCAGTGGTGGGGCCGTGGGAGAGGGGTGATGAGGGGGTAGCTGAGTGAGGGGGAACGGGGTTGGAGGGAGTTTGAGCAGTGACGAAGTCCCTGCGGGTAATGTCGAGGGGGAGGGGGGATGATGGGGTAGCTGTGTGAGAGGGGACGGGTTGAGAGGGCGTGTGAGTTGCAGCAATGTCCTTGCGAATTGTGTCAATCTTGTTTTTGAAGTGATTGGCAATCTCAAGGGCGGTGAGTGAGGTGCTGGGTGGAGGTGGGGGTGGAGAGAGTAGAGAGTTGAAGGTGGAGAAGAGTCGGCGAGGATTGGAGGAGAGGGCCTTGATGAGGGTCAGGAAGTAGGCTTGTTTGGCTGCGTGGAGGGAGGAGGTGTAGGTGCGGAAGGCAGATTTGTAGCAGGTGAAAGCTTGTTGGGATTTTGTTTTGCGCCATAGTCGCTCCAGGGCACGACTGCGTCGTTTGAGGGTTTTGGTGCGATCAGTCTGCCAGGGCTGGAGCGGTCGGAGTCTGATGTTGCGTGTGGTTAAAGAAGCTAGTGAGTCAAGGGCTGCTGACAGCGCGTTGTTGTAGGCAGTCATAGCCAAGTCGGGGCAGGACAGGGGGAGGATGCGGTCGTGGAGTTGATCAGCTGCAGAGTGGAGGGGGGCAGGGTTAAGGTTGCGGAGGTTACGGCTGGTAGTAGTGTGACATTTGGAGGGGTAGGCGTTGGAGGACGAGGAGATAGAGAAGGTGATCAGGTTGTGGTCAGAGAGAGGGAAGGGGGTGTTAGTGAGGTTGTGGGGAGCGCAGCGGTTGGAGAAGACAAGATCAAGGATATTACCGTCGGAGTGGGTGGTGGATTGTATGCACTGTGCAAGTGCAAAGGAGGAGGTTAAGTGGAGGAGACGGGCTGTGTCCGGGTTGTCAAGGTTGACAGGGATGTTGAAAGCAATTAATTTGTAAGGTGTTTGACCACCTTTAAAGCTGAGGTTTATGTAAAAAACAAAAACACCCAATGTCCCCCTTGTCCTGATACCTCCCACTGCACTGTAAAAATGAATAGAATAGTAACAACAAAATAATACATACACTGAGCAGTGCCATCAGTGGTACTTCCTCTTCCCCTTCAATGGTAGGTGATCCTTACTGCTACAACTGAACATCTTCCCATAACGACCTGTACACTGTACTCATTGCTGGAATACTCTGAGCTCAGGCTGCATGATGATGCCTCTCCAAAGGGAAAGGTGCCTGACAACCTGGGCTCAGAGGTAGTGGACTGCATGACACTGGCCATCATGAGGACATCTAGTGGCAGAAAGGAATTACTGCGAGGGAAAGCTCTGGATTGATAGTGATATTACAGTAAAAGCTTCTTTCACTTTTACTGGAAATCATTTAAATTCAATTCTGGAGAGGTAAGCTGACTTTTTTAAATGTGAAAAATAGAAAATGAAAATACAAAGAGATATTCTGAAAAAGCATTAAAATCTAAAACTTTGTTTTTGAAGTCTCTATCTATTAAAAGCATAATTAAAGACAAATGTTATTTTTAGTTTTGGATAGAAAACTCTTGTCCGGTTTTTATTGCTGTCTGTGCCCCCATTATGGAGATTCCCCCTCCCTATTTGTCCTGTTTACTGTTATCATCGAAATAGAAATGAAAAGAAAATCCCACATTTTTGGGGTGACAGCGGAACAGGAAGTTGGGGGAAATCTTCCAATGGGAATGCTCGTTCTACTGACAATTAGGGATTCCCTCGATTTGGATGGATTTCCTCTTAGTTCCTTTTCTTTGGCAATAGGACAGGAAGTGAAGAGAAATCTCCCCAATGGGACACGGATGGCAAAAAAAACCGGACCGGGGTTATAACCCTCCATTACTCTATTCAAAATGAGAAAAAAAAGTTTGCCTTTAGTTCTATTTTAATGATTTGGCTGCTTCAGTCCAGATACAGCGATGATTCCTTTATGGTTATGGACCTCTTTACAGACAGCAGATAAAACCTGTTTCATGGCTCCTCCATCGGAATGTGAAGTGTTATTGTATTATGTAACCACAGCTATCTTCTAGACACACCCAAGGAGGCCCAGATACAGAGATGACAGTGCTTCGGCCAGAGAGAGATAATTCTGCTGTGAAGCCAAGTGTTTGCTTTTTTTTTTTGAATGCTTTCATATATTTTGAAGCGCTATAGATTTGCAAAGGGCAGGTAATATTATACTGTAAATACATACCATATATATATATACACACACACTATATTGCCAAAATCATTGGGACGCCTTCCTTTACACCAGTGTTTCTCAACTCCAGTCCTCATGGACCTCAACAGGTCATGTTTTCAGGATTTCCCTCAGATGAAACAGCTGTGGTAATTACTAAGGCAGTGAAACTGATCAAATCACCTGTGCAAAATAATGGAAATCCTGAAAACATGACCTGTTGGGGGTCCATGAGGACTGGAATTGAGAAACACTGCTTTACACGAACATGAACTTTAACCACTAGCCTACAGGGCACTTATACTCCCTTCCTGCCCAGGCCAATTTCCAGCTTTCAGCGCTGTCACACTTTGAATGACAATTGCGCGGTCATGCAACACTGTACCCATATGAAATGTTATCATTTTTTTGAGACAGATAGAGCTTTATTTTGGTGGTATTTAATCACCTCGTGGATTGTTTTTTTTTCCTAAACAAACCAAAAACCACTGAAAATTTTGAAAAAAAAAGGTTTTTCTTAGTTTTTGTTATACAATTTTTTAAATAAGTGATTTTTCTCCTTCACTGATGTGCGCTAATGAGGTTGCAGTGATGGGCACTGATAGGCTGCACTGATGGACACTGATAGGTGGCACTGATGAGGAGGCACTGGTAGGTTGCACTGATGGGCATTGACAGGCATCACTGATAAGTACTGAAAGGCAGCACTGATACATGACACTGATATATGGCACTGATAGGCGGCACTGACTGGCACTGTTAGGCGGCACTGATGCGCACTGATAGGCAACACTGACTGGCACTGATAGGCGGCACTGATTGGCAGCACTGATAGGTGGCACGGATTGGCATTGATAGGTGGCACTGACTGGCACTGGTATGCACTGATATGTGACACTGATGGGCACTGGCACGTGGCACTGAAAGGCAGCTCAGATAGGCACTGATATGTGGCATTGATGTGCACTGGTATACACTGATATGTGGCACTGATGGGCACTGGCACGTGGCACTGATGAGCACTGACTGCTGGCACTGATTGACACTGACAGGTGGCACTTCTGGGGCCACACTGATCATCAGGGCACATTGATCATCAGTGCCCTGATGATCAGTGTACATGTTCCCACCGCAGAAACCCGATTACCGGCTCTCCTCTCCTCTCGAGCTGTCAACGTGACAGCTCGAGAGGAGAGAAATGCCAATAACCGGCAATCCTGTGTTTACATGTGATCAGCTGTGATTGGACACAGCGGATCACATGACCGAGCCGACATCTTCGGCTCTTTCCGTGATCCGCTGTGTCCAAGGGACACAGTGCACCGGCGATCGCTGCGCTGTGCTGCGCGCTCCCTGAGCCGCGCATGCGTGGTGAGAATGGAAGGAAGTCATATGACGTCCTATCAGAATGAGAGAACCACCTTGCACCCGTCATTGTACTATATGGCGGGCGGAAGGTGGTTAATGGCATCCCAGTCTTAGTCCATAGGGTTCAATATTGAGTTGGCCCCGCGCTTTGCATCTATAACAGCTTCAGCTCTTCTGGGAAGGCCGTCCACAAGGTTTAGGAGGGTGTCTATGGGAAGGTTGGACCATTCTTCCAGAAGCCCATTTGTGAGGTCAGGCTCTGATGTCGGGGGAGGAGGCCTGGCTCCCAGTCTCCGCTCTAATTCATCCCAAAGATGTTCTATGGGGTTGAGGTCAGGACTCTGTGTAGGCCAGTCAAGTTCCTCCACCCAAAACTTGCTCATGCATGTCTTTATGGACTTTGCTTTGTGCACTGGTGCAAGTCAGGTTGGAACAGGAAGGGGCCATCCCACAAAGTTTGGAGCATGAAATTGTCCAAAATGATGCCTTAAGAGTTGCCTTCACTGAAATTAGGGTGCCAAACCCTACCCGTGAAAAACAACCCCACACTATAATCCCTCCACCAAACTTTACACTTGGCACAATGCAGTCAGGAAAGTATCATTCTCTTGGCTATTGCCAAATCAGACACGTTTATCGGATTGCCAGACAGAGAAGCATGATTCGTCACTCCAGAGAACACGTCTCCACTGCTCTAGAGTCCAGTGGTGGCGTGCTTTACACAACTGCATCAGACGCTTTGCATTGAACTTGGTGATGTAAGGCTTGGATGCAGCTGCTCGGCAATGGAAACCCATTCCATGAAGCTCTCTACGCACTGTTGTTGTGCTAATCTGAAGACCACATGACGTTTGGAGGTCTTTAGCTATTGACTCTGCAGACAGTTGGTGACTTCTGCGCACTGCGCGCTTCAGCATGCGCTGACCCCGCTCTGTAATTTTACGTGGCCTACCACTTCGTGGCTGAGTAGCTGTTGTTCCCAGTTGCTTCCACTTTGTTATAATCCCACTAACAGTTGACCGTGGAATATTTAGTAGTCAGGAAATGTCACGGATGGACTTATTGCACAGGTGACAACCTATCACAGGACCACGCTTGGAGTCACTGAGCTCCTGAGAGCGACCCATTCTTTCACAAATGTTTATAGAAGCAGTCTGCATGCCTAGGTGATGATTTTATACAGCTGTGGCCATGGAGGTGATTGGAACACCTGAATCCAATGATTTGGAGGGCTGGCCCAATACTTTTGGCAATATCTATCTATCTATCTATCTATCTATCTATCCATTCAGTCGTATCCAACCCTTGGCGATTGCATGGACCGTCACTCGTAAGCAACTTTTTCCATGAATTCTCTTAGCAATTATTTTTATAGGGTAGGTTGCCAGGTCTTTCCCCAACCCCTACCATGCAGGAGATCCCGCATGGTTTGGCAATATAGTGTATGTGTAAATCAGGATTTTTTTAACCTTTGTCAGTGCCACCTGTATCGTAGTTGGGAAAAAATCCTTTAACTTCCTGTTCAGGTGGTCAAAACAGGAAATAAAGAAAGATCACCTGCAACATAGACAGCAATAGAAACTTAACACGGATCCTAACCATTCTCAATTATTCAAAGATAGCAAAGATTTCAGTATGAGTAATTTGATAACTCTAGACATACATCATGTTCAAGCAAACCTGTACTTTGCACACACTATACAATGTTAAAGGTCCTCCTTACAGTAGGCAATGTAGGCTGGCTGCATTCACCTTCTTTGCTTTTCTAATGCCCCAGTCTGGTGGAATAAAGGATCACTATTCAAATTAAGACTATAAAACCCAATTTCGGGTTTCTCCCCTTCAACCATATCTTTTGCACTTGTATCCAAACCAGTCACATGGGATGCAGGGTCCTCGCTGGATTTTTCCAGCAGTGAAGCAAAGAGCGGTGCTGACTAGTGACTCTGCACTCTTAGTATGTCCTCAGTCTTCCAGGTTGAGTAACATCAGGTGTCATTAATCTGGAAGACTGAGGACATCTTGTGGCTGAAAGGAGGTACTGCGATTCAGATCACCAGAGAAGAGGTGAATATTGCATTATTATTATACAGTATTTATATAGAGCTAAAAGGTTTGCTCAGCGCTGTACATTATAGTGGGGGACAATACAGTAACAAATCAAAACACGAGGGGTTCAAGGGCCCTGCTCTTTCGAGCTTACAATCTAGGAGGGAGGGGATAGTGGTACAGGAGGACGTGGCTGTGGGGGATGGAGTGGTAGGAGGAGTGGAGGAGATCGGCTGTTAGGTGAGAGTGGGGTAGGCTTCCCTGAAGAGATGGGTTTTCAGGGTGTGCCTAAAGGTGAGGAGGGTAGGTGACAGTCTGATGGATTGGGGTAGTGAGTTCCAGAGGATGGGGGAAGTCCTGGAGAAGTACTGCAGTCGGGCGTGGGAGGTGGAGACCAGGGAGCTAGAAAGTAGGAGGTCTTGTGAGGAGCGAAGATTATTTTTCTTTCTTCAGACATTTCAAAAACATAAATAATATTTTATTATTATTAAATTATATATAATTACCGGATTATTGTATAAATTATTAATAATTATTGTCATTATTAATGTATACACTAATTTAGTAAATATATGCAATTAATTATTATTAATAATAATAATAAATTGAAGTTTAGCTTTAAGAAACGCAAAACCTGCACTGCTTAAGGAACGCAAAACCTGCACTGATTGCTCCATCATAGGGAGGTGTTCCTTTTTGACTTGTTTTTTTCTAGCTGCCCTGATGAACTATAGCCATTCACTTTTATGGACCAGAGCATGATACTTGCATAACAATCATACATACAGACAGTCACCTGCAAGTTGTGCATCACAATTGTTCAATTCATAAAGTTAGCCCTGGTTCACACTGAATGTGAATTTGAAATTGCACAACTTCACTTAAAGTAGCGCCATTTCAAAGTTGCAGGTCAGTGCAATTTCATGTGCAACTTGCCTGAAATCTGTGTGTCTTCATGCACAGATGTCTATGCAAGTCGCACATTAAATCACAAAAAATAGTGCAGAAACCTTTTTTCCACATCGGTGCGGCACGGCAAAGTCAGAGTCGCACAGATCTGAACGGTTCCGTAGTCTCAAGTAGGGTGCACCTTGTCATGCGATTTGGAACTGTCAAATTACATGACCGGTCGCACCAGTGTGAACCATGGTTTAGTCACAGACAATTGTAGCTGCTTGAGATGACCACAAATCTTTCAGTTGCCTAAACTGGAATCTGATCTGTAGAGAAGTATACAGGTTTAAAGTAGAACTCCAGCCAAATAATTTTTTTGGACTATCCATAGAGTGGGAATGAATTTACAAAAGCGAAAGAAATTCCACTTCTGCTTGTTACCAGAATGTGTGTCCTTCTTGGAATATTTTCCCTTTATTCCTGTACCAACGGCAACTGTATAATTTTGGATTTCTCAGCACTTTATGACAATGGTCACCAAGACGATTAGAGAAGGCAAATCTGCCCAGCAGTGATACAAAAACCTGTCAGAGGGTATAAACTTTCTACACTGTACAAATACAAGTTTCTACGTTATAAATTCCAGGAATTAGATACAATCTACACCCCCCCCCCCCAGAACTGCAAAGATTAAATGCTCATTTACACTGCGGGTGCAGGGATAAGCTGCATTGCTTGCCCTGTCCTGCGATTTGGTAAGCTTCAAGGCCAATGCTCTGGGCGGTCCCTTGGCATCATCACCTAGAATGCAGGGTGAATAACCCAGCATTCTATGTAGTTAGGCAAGCATGCGACCACGGCTGAGAGCATCTTAGAGAAATGTTATACCACTGCACCCCTAGACAAAACCAGCATTTAACCCTTGTAGTGCGGGGGGGGGGGGGGGTGTTAAGTTTTGGCTTGTTCCCAGAGTTCAGCTTTAAATAGAAAATAATTTTATTAAATCATTTTCTTATACTTTGCAGGAATCTGCAACAAAAATTACTTAACGGAAGGAAAGTAAAAATGACTGCAAATTACTGAACTGAAGGAAAGCAAAAAATACTGAAAATTACAGCAAAAATGACTGGACTGAAGGGAGACCCACTCATCTGATCTCCATACATCACAAAATAGTTACAATGTTTCTATCAATGTAGCAAGTTGTTACACTGATCATTGAAGAGGAGCAGTTGAACCAACTGTGAATCCCGGTGAGACTGCACAGGTGTACACATGACAAAAAAGATAACGGGTGTGTGCTTTTTACATACTTGGTTCACAGCTGCTTATGGCCCCTTTCACACAGACATTTCAATCGGGTCCAGCTGCCCGTTTTTCAGACCTGATCAGAACCTCTATTCTATTCTATGGAGCGGCAGGTGTAAACAGATGTGTCCATTTACACCCGCCGACATCCAATCTGCCAAAAAGAGACGGATGGGGATTGGTTTAGTTTCAGTCCATTGGATCAGATGGCAATCGATGAAAGCGGACAGGTGGTCTGTTTCCATTCGACCACCCATAGCGAGGATAGCGAGCTGTGTCTGTATCCGCTCTGCAGCTATGGAGAGGACACGGACCTGTCATCTGCTTGCTCAGTGGGAATCAGCGGAGAGACCCCCCGCTGAACAAGCGGAGCCGTTGATGGGTCCACCCCATGCTAAAGGGCCTTCAAAACACCATTTAGATCAGTTCTCTATACTCACTGAATACATTTTTTAAAAAAAAACTGCTGTAAAAGAAGACAGCAGACAGCATTATGCTCAGTTGTATAGTGCAATGCTGTCATCTAACATGTTACAGGCACTGGGAGCTGAAAGAGATGACGGGTCCACCTCATGTGAAAGGAGCCTTCAAAACACCATTTAGATCAGTTCTATACTCACTGAATAAATGTTTTTTTTTTTAAAACTGCTGTAAGGCAGAAACCAGACAGTATTATGCTCAGTTGTATAGTGCAATGCTGTCATCTAACATGTTACAGGCACTGGGAGCTGAAAGAGATGAAGAGGACATAGGGGGACCTCAGCTACCGTATGTAATGAAAATCTTCTGTCCTACAATAGGTAGACAGATGACATGGGAAACTGCAGAGCTGCGGTAAGAAATAGTGCGCTATGGAGTGGGCTGAACAGAACTACAATCATTTCTAAATGGTTAGCACTTCCGCCTGGCAGTACTCGGGTCATTTGTTTGAATCCCAACCACGGCACCACCTGCCTGGAGTTTGCATGTTCTCCCTGTGCCTGCAAGGGTTTCCTCCGGGTACTTCGGTTTCCTCCTACACTCCAAAGAAATGCTGGTAGGTTAATTGGATCCTGTTTAAAGTAGCCCTAATATGTGTATGTATGAATGTGAGTTAGGGACCTTAGATTGTACACCCCTTGAGGGTTAGGGACGGATGTGAATGTAATATATATGTAAAGTGCTGCGTAAAATTGACTGCGCTATATAAGTACCTGAAATAAATAAATAAATACATTTCCCCAACTCAGATTCCCCTAGGAGTTCCAAGCACCCCCAACCCTGATAACTCAGTCTACTTGCTTAATTCCCCATAGTGCACAATAAACTGAAAAATTCAGCAGCACAAGTGAGACTCCCTGAAAATAGCTGCAGCATGTGATCAAAGTGTAGAGACGTCCCCCAGGGAGATATAATAATCTGATTGCAGATTCGGCCTCCTACCTCCTGAATTAATGGACACTTACTGGTGGCCGTGTCTGGAGTCTTGATGGTGATCCTGGTCCTCGGCTGCTGGGGCCCCCTGTTATGAGCGTCCTGTAGATGTGTATGGGGTCCTGTGTGCTCTGCTGACCCTGACACTCAGCTGATGTCTGAGCTGGGATGGGAGGCTGCTGGATTTTCCTCTCTTCTATTCTGTGTATGGGAACCTCCAATACTTTGTTGACTTTCTACTGGCTGCAGCATCCTGACCCGGAGTCCTCACACCGCCTAGCACAGCTATACACAGGAAACCCCTCCTTGTGTGCTGTCAGTGCAGTGCTGGCTCTTTCTCTCCATTGTCAGTGTGGATGTTATCAGTGCTGGCTCTGTTCTCACCAGGAGAGACGCTCCGCAATGAAGGGACATGGACTCCGCAACGAAGGGACATGCACTCCGCAGCGAAGGGACATGGACTCCGCAGCGAAGGGACATGGACTCCGCAACGAAGGGACATGGACTCCGCAACGAAGGGACATGGACTCCGCAACGAAGGGACATGGACTCCGCAACGAAGGGACACAGACCTAACTAATTTGTCTGTCCCTCCTTCCTGAACATGCCCTTAAAGTGGACCTTTACCCCCAAAACCCAAATCCAAATTTGTTCAGTGCATGAATGCTATGCTGACCTAGAAACATGTTCCTTTAACCACTTTAATACCGGACCAGGGGTGTGGACATTTAAAAAAAAAATGAAATACTTGTCCAAGGAACTAAATTGGGGTCTACTTGTCCCTCATGACAATCCCCTTATCCTGTTAAAAGAAATAATATTTTCCCAGCATGGAAAATATGAAGGGTTGATGTTTTTTATTAGGCAGAGGTGCTTTTATTAATGTCTGGGGCTTTTCAAAACAAAAGGGGCTTTATGGTGACTTGAACTTTTAATGTTTTTAACCACCTTCCCTCCAGAAGATTTACCCCCCTTCCTGACCAGGCAATTTTGTGTGATACGGCGCTGCGTTATGTTAACTGACAATTGCACAGTCATGCAACGCTGCACCCAAATGAACTGTATGTCCTTTTTTTCACACAAATATAGCTTTCTTTCGGTGGTATTTGATCACCTCTGGGGTTTTTTTGTGCTATAAACCAAAAAAAAATACCGACAATTTGGAAAAAAAAACAATATTTTTGATTTTTTGCTATAACACATATCCAGTAAAAAAAATTAAAACATCAAAGTTCTTCATAAATGTAGACCAAAATGTATTCTGCTACATGTATTTTCTAAAAAAAAAAAAAAAATCCCAACAAGTATATGTTGATTGGTTTATGTGAAAGTTGTAGCATCTATAAATGGCGGTATATATATATATATATATATATATATATATATATATATATATATATATATTGGAATTTAAATTTTTTTATATACTAGTAATGGCAGCGATCAGCGACTTATAGCGGGACTGTGGCAGGCATTCTGACACTGGGGGGAACTGACTAACTGCCACTGACATCCCCAGTGACATTAACCCCGGTTCACATATATGCGGCCATGCGGGCCGTGTTTTGCACAGGCACGAGAGCCCATTCGTTTGAATGGACTCCCGTGCCCCATGACACGCAGAGAAGAATTCCCTGCACTTCTTCCAAAAACGCAGCCCGCACGGGAACCTCGGTTCCCAGTACGGTTGCGTTTTCCTGTGCGGGCTGTGTGCCATTACAACTATTGGCACCCGCCCGCAGGTCCGCATTTCTCTGTGCGAATACCCAGCGGCCACACAAATGTGAACCTAGCCTAATACAGTGATCAGCGCCAACAAAGAGTGCTGACACTGTTCTATTGGCACTGAGCAGGAAGGGGTTAACATCTGGGGGCGATCAAAGGGTTAACTGTGCTTCATGTAGTTTACATTGTGTGCTGTGTGCTCTTTTACTTGAAAGACATCTCCAGAGGGGCACTAGTGGCCCCAACAGTGTTAGGCAGGAAGGGGCCAACATCTAGGGTGATCAAAGGGTTCACAATGTGCTGTGTGTGTTTTACATGCTGTGCTGTTCTACTTGGGAGACATGCTGCTTTGTATCTCTGTTGTGCAGAGAGATACAAAGCAGCATGTCCATGCTGCAGGAGAGAGATATGCTTTGTTTACACACAGATCTCTCCCCTCTCAGCTCTGCGGATGATCACCAAGTTTCAGCCGGGAATCTTCGGCTGGGACCTGGTGATTGACATCCCCAGCAGCCAATAGCATTGCAGAAAGGGTGGCACGCGCCCCCTATCTGGAAATGCAAATCACGTGTATGTAATGTGTGTGTATATATATATATATATATATATATATATATATGTGATTTTGCACAGCCATGCTGCCCTGTAACAGTACTCCTGCTATAGGTCGGAGGGCTAGTGGTTAACATTGCGCTGTTTTATCTCCTACTCATCTCCACGGCGGGGAAGCGGGTACATCTGTATTGGATTGGAAGGCTGTGGGGGTTGGGGTGCTTGTAAATGAGATCCAGCAGCTAGTTACAACTGATCCAGGAGGATGTAATGATTGGTCACTATAACTGTCATGGTGAGTATCATATTAGATGCTGCAGTGTGTTCTGATAGTATGGCGGCAATCAGCTCCTCTTTGTAGGGCAATCTGCTGCCTTTTCATCAGAGTAGTTCTAGCAGGGCAGACAGATGACAGGTGCTCTTACATGGTTAACGGGAACATGTGGGAATGAAATACACATACCAGTTTGTAGAGGGCGGCAGAGCCCCTCTCCAGAGCGGCACTAGTGGCCCCAACAGTGTTGGGCAGGAAGGGTTAACATGGGCAGGTTAACAGTGTGCTGTTTTACTTAATGCTGCTTTGTATCTCTCTGCTGCTTGTGGCAATCCAGTGGATAGTTACAACTGATCCAGGAGGAAGTAACAATTGGTCACTATACTCGTCATGGTGAGTATCATATTAGATGCTGCAGTGTATTCTGATAGTATGGGGGGGGGGGGGGGAGGCGTCAGCTCCTCTTTATAGGGCAATCTCCTGCCTACCCAGCAGAATAGTTCTAGCCAGGGGCGTGACTGTCCATTTAGAAACTCGGGCACGACCGAGGGCCCCGGGTCACTAGGGGGCCCCATGAGATGCCCCTGGTACCTTTTTCATAGGCTTTTTTGAGTTTGGGCAAGGACACAGGGGCCCCATGATCCCCTATTGCTCGGGGGCCCCATGAGTTGTCAGTCCGCCCCTGGTTCTAGCAGGGCAGACAGATGACAGGTGCTCTTACATGGTGAACGGGAATATGTGGGAGTTCATACACATACCAGTCTGTAGAGGGCAGCAGAGCCCCTCTCCAGAGCGGCACTAGTGGCCCCAACAGTGTTGGGCAGGAAGGGTTAAATGGGGCGATCAAAGGGTTAATGGTGTGTTGTTTTACTTGGGAGACACTAGTTGCCCCAACAGTGTGCAGTTTACAGGGCCCCAGGGTCTATTCTTAGAATTAGAACTTACACGGAGTCAAACACTGGGTGCCCCTGGCACATCCTTGCATACCACCTGATCTTTCCCCCCCCCCCCTCAGCCAATCAGTGTCCTCCGCTGCTAAACAGCATCAGCGTGAAGGATCATGCCCTCCGCTTTTCTACGCCTCCTGAGGTGGCCAATCAGTAACGTGGCTGGAGAGATTGTTGGGCTGCAAAAAATTGAGATTCCGTCAAGCAGCAAGAGATAGATGGCGGGAGCTTTGGTTGCCGCATCATCCCTTTAAAACCGCCAAATATTAATTACACAGTTCTGGGGCTAATTTGATGCAGATAAAGTACTAGGTGAGTTTAATACCAACTTCAGCCACAGGACATGTGAATTTATTTGTGTCATTTTAACCACTTCCAGTCCGGACACTTTCACCCCTTTCCTGTCCAGGCCAATTTTCAGCTTTCAGCGCTATCACAATTTGAATGACAATTACGCGGTCATGCAACACTGTACCCATATGAATTTTTAACATTTTTTTGAGACAGATGAAACTTTATTTTGGTGGTATTTATTCACCACTGGGATTTTTATTTTTTGCTATATAAATGAAAAATTCCAAAAAAATGAAAAAAAAAAAGTGTTTTTCTTAAAAGTTTGCAAATAAATAATCTTACTTCATAAATCTTGGCCGAACTGTATTCAGTTATCTTTTTAGTGAAAAAAAAATAACCCAAGTTAGTTTATAACTAAAAATTATAATTTTTAAAAATTTGTTTTTACATTTTTATTTTTTTACATTATTATTTTTGGGTTTTTTTTTTTTTTTTTTTTTTAACATACCGTCACCCTAGCAGTACAGTGTCACCATAGTGACACTGTACTACTTGTGGGGGCTGATGAAGATTTTCTTTTCTTTTTTTACACTGACAGCTTTTACACCCGTTTTGGGCTGTAAAAGCAATCATTTCTCCTTCTCTCTGGCTGCATTCTTGCAGCCATTGAGAAATACTGTGAGTGCTGTGATTGGTCACAGCTTGTCACATGGTACAAGGCTGCTGTGAATAGCCTTGTACCATGTGACCTCTGTGATCATTCACAGATTTCACACGTAGTATTATTATTATTATTATACAGTATTTATATAGCGCCAAAAGGTTTTCTCAGAGCTGTACATTATAGTGGGGGGACAGTACATTAGACAATACAGTAACAATACAATACACGAGGGGTTCGAGGGGCCCTGCTTGGAGCTTACAATCTAGGAGGGAGGGGGATAGAGGTACAGGAGGAAGTGGCTGTGGGGGATGGAGTGGTAGGAGGAGTGGAGGAGATCAGCTCGTTAAGTGAGGGTGGGGGTAGGCTTCCCTGAAAAGATGGGTTTTCAGGGTGTGCCTAAAGGTGAGGAGGGTAGGTGACAGTCTGATGGATTGGGGTAGTGAGTTCCAGAGGATGGGGGAAGTCCTGGAGAAGTCCTGCAGTCGGGCGTGGGAGGAGGAGACCAGGGAGCTAGAAAGTAGGAGGCCTTGTGAGGAGCGAAGATTACGGGTTGGGTGGTATTGGGGTATCAGGTCGGTGGTGGTTAGTTTGGGGCAGCGTTATGAATGGCTTTGTATGTCTGTGTTAGTATTTTGAATTTATACGTTGGCAATCGGGAGCCAGTGGAGGGAATGACAGAGGGGGGTGGCAGAAGAGGAGCGGTTGGTAAGGTGGATGAGTCTGGCCACTGAGTTCAGGATAGACTGAAGCGGGGATATCCTGTGTTGGGGTAGGCCGGTCCAGACGTGAGATAATAAGGGAGTGAACGCGTTGTTTAGTAGTGTCTGGGGTTAGGAACGAACGTCATCAGAAGTGACATCTTGCTTACTACTATTCATGTGATCACTGATTGGCCAATCAGTGATCACATGATCAGGACCTCCTCCGAACACATCGGGCACCGGATCGTGGTGCTGCGCGTTCCCAGGGAGCGTGCACACAGGCAGTGAATGCGGGTGATGTTTAGAAACGTCAATCCACTTTGGCACTGCTCCCGTCCAGCCGTTATAGACATGGGCTGGACAGGAAGTGGTTAAAGAGATGGGGTGACAACAACTCACTGGTGCATTTGTCACTTACTGCTTTCCATTCTCACATCCAACTGTCACTATTTTTGTAGTCAGCTGCCAGACTGCCACATTGCTGTGAATAATATGAATCTACATCACAGGTGTCAAACACAAGGCCCGCTGACCAAATCTGGCCCTCCAGGTCATTTCATGTGGCCCTTGCACCTCTCCTGCAGGTACCCCTTGTCTCCGCCCCCACCTTGTCTCAGCAGTTGGAAGCAGAGAAGAGAAAAGAACTCCTCTGCCAAATCCTGCACCTCTCAGTGCAGCTGCAGCACCCCTCATCTCTGCCTCCCCTGGTCTCAGCATTCAGCAGACTCTAGTAACTGACTCCACTCTTCCTCTGGTCCTCCTCCAGATCCTGCACTTTCTGCTTTCCAGCTCTTTGCCCCCAAAGGGGGTGCACAGTGATGTTAGGGAGGGGGTGGGATTCTTGACATCTGATGTAATGGGGGGGTGGGTTGCTCTGGACATCTAGTCTTACAGATACAACCAGCCCCTTGAGGGCAACCATAATACTAATACAGCCCCTGATGGAATGGAGTTTGACACCCCTGATCTATATGGAGGGGAGTCAGCGGTATTGCAGGTTAGTCAGTGTAAGTGCTGCCCTGAGCTTGATTGATCGGGAGAGGAGAGGTCTGTTCTGGTGTGGAGGAGGCAGCGGGAACACCCTCAGCTAGAGCCAACAATGACTGTATGGAGGAGGAGGAGGCGGCAGGGTTGAGGCTGGGGGGGCGCATCCTGAGCTTGATCCGCCAATGACACCTGGGAGGGCAGGACTATCCTGGTGTGGAGGAGGAGGGACGCCCTCAGCTTGACTGGTAGCTGCTCGGATTGCTTTTACAGGGAGCCGACAGTCAGCTCAGTAAGCCCTGCTGCTTGCCCGCATCAGGCTGAATGTAAAAAACCCTCCTGCCTACACATGTCCCGGGCGTCAGGAGATAGGATTTGGACATCCCTGTGGGCACTTTTACCTCATTCCTGCCCAGACCAATTTTCAGCTTTCAGCGCTTTTGCACTTTGAATGGCAGTTGCGCGGTCATGCAACACTGTACCTATATTACATTTTTATATTTTTTTTCACACACAAATAGAGTTTTCTTTTGATGGTATTTAACTGCTTACCCTCCTGAGGATTTACCCCCCTTCCTGACCAGGCCATTTTTTGCATTACGGTGCTGCGTTACTTTATCTGACAATTGCGCGGTCATGCAACGTTGCACCCAGATAAAATTTACATTCTTTTTTCACCATGAATAGAGCTTTCTTTCTATGGTATTTGATCGCTGGTGCGGTTTTTTTTTTGTTTTGCGCTATAAACAAAAAAGAGCAAAATTGAAGAAAAAAAAAACGTTTTTCTTTGTTTCTATTATACAATTTTGCAAACAGATAATTTTTCTCCTTCACTGATGTGCATTGATGAGGCTGCACTGATAGGCAGCACAGATGGGCACTGATAGGTGGCACTGATGAGGTGGCATGGATAGGCAGCACTGAGGGCACTGATAGGCGGCACTGATGATGCTGCACTAATATGCAACAATGATAGGCACTGATGAGTGGCACTGACTGGCGGCAATGCTGGACAGCACTGATAGGGGGCACTACTGGGCACTGGTGGATGGCACTGCTGGACACAGGTGGGTGGCACTACTAGGAACTGATGGGCACAGGTGGTTGGCACTACTAGGCACTAATGGGAACAGGTGGGTGCCACATGCACAGATCTGAACCAATTCTTACATCAGCGATGTCCTCACCTGACTCAGCTCTGTGCTCTTTGGTCCAGCTGTCAGCATTTTAACTAGTGGACAGCCGACTGTGACTCTTTTCAGCTTCACAGCCGGCTGCCCACTGCGCAAGCCATGCTGTGCTGCGCTTAATGAATGGTCCTGCAGTCTCCTGGCACCTGTGCTGTGGATGGATAGGCAGCACTGAGGGCACTGAAAGGTGGCACTGATAGGTGTCACTGATGATGCTGCACTAATATGCAACAATGATGGGCACTGATGAGTGGCAATGACTGGCGACACTGCTGGGCACTGACTGGCGGCAATGCTGGACAGCACTGATGGGGAGCACTACTGGGCACTGGTGGATGGCACTGCTGGACACAGGTGGGTGACACTACTAGGCACTGATGGGCACAGGTGGGTGGCACTACTAGGCACTGATGGGCACAGGTGGGTGGCACTGCTGGGCACTGACGGGCACAGGTGGGTGGCACTGCTTGGCAATTGTGGGCGGCACTGGTGGGTGGCACTGCTGGGCACTGATCATCAGTGCTCTGATGATCAGTGCCAATCTGTTTTCTGTGACAGCGTGAGGAAAGTGCAACCTATAACCAGCAACTGCATTTACCCGGTAATCTGCTGTGTCCACTGGACACGGCTGATCATGTGGTAAAAGGCCGCTGTGATTGAACTTCTACCACATCACGTGACGAGCTGTGCCTGTAGGACACAGCAATCACGAAGATCGCCGGGTGCACACCGCTGGAGGCGCACGGGAGGGTGCATTCTGGGAGGATGCCATATGATGCCATTCCAGAACTGGACAACCGCGCTGTAGCCGTCATTTGGCTAGTGGTTAATCTGAAAAAAATTGTAAATTTACTTTGAAGATCCCACACATTTACTGCTGTGAAT